AAGACCTCTGGCTGCCTGCCCGGGGTGTCTGCTGTCTCTGTGGATGTTAGGACTTTTGGGTGTGATCTCTTAGTGACATGCACAGAGGTGAGTCCTTGGGGAGACCTGAAGGGTGCCCCCACCCCAGGACCCTTCCATCCTGGCCCAACTCTGCACGTGGGGCTCCTGTTCTGGGCCAGTTCCCTATAAACAGGGCATTTCTGGACAAAGGCCCTTGAGGCTTCCTTTGGTTTTGATTCACGGCCACAAAGAGCTGGAGGGAGGCCTCACAGCCGGCCTGGCCCCGGGACCTTGGCTTTGTGGTTCTGGGCTCCCTTCTCCTGGCCACTCTCCATCCTTTGCCCGCGTGTGCGTGGATTGCGCCTTCTGGCAGGACAAGGGGTTGCCAAGCAGTTCTTCTCCTTGCGGGGTTGGTGCACGGGCTGTTGCCTATTGAACGGAGGATGTGGCAGAATCCCGATAGCAGCAAGGGTGTCCCTTGTGGGTCTGGTGTCTTCGGCTTTGCCTGTTGGGGCTGTTCTGGCAGGAACCTCTGATGCTCTTAGTCATGACCAGAAGCAGCCCCTGCCATGCTTCCCCTGGAGCGCTGGAGTGGGCACCAGGGCTGTCTTCTGACCGCCTTGGCCATCTGACCTGAGTCCCCCGGCCCCCGTGGCCTTGCTGCCTGGCTTGGAGGGTGCTGTCCCCCTCACCTGTGTGCGACTCCTAGGCCTTTTTCCTAGAGCAAGTAAGAGCCAGCATTGTCCCAGAACGTTCGTTATCTGTTATCATCTGACTTTCACTGCCTGTGAGGGAACACGAGCCACTAATGTACGTAGCACCGGGGATCTAGGAGGGAAATCGGTGCCAAATGATGTCATCCTCCTGTGTCTGGGTGGGACGAATCGTCCTGCAGGGCCACGTTGGTGACCAGCCTGGAGCCTGCCACTCTCAACACCAAAGCTTTAAGAACAGTGTACCTTTGGAGGATTTGGAAATCTTCTCATAGGGGGCAGGTGCTTTCTTCCTGACCTTGCTTCTTGTTGGCCTGGAGCCATCCTAGCAGATTAATTAATGAGCTCACTCCTCAAGTGGCTGGGCCGGTCCTGCTGTCAGGACCAGCAATCAACTCACAAGGACTTGCGCAAGCTCTGTGAGGGGACGGTGGGTCGCGCCCCCTGCAGGTGGGCTCAGGGCAGTGCTCAGAGGAGGACATGTTAGCTGACCTTGAAATGATCAAGCAGTGTGTCACACGGATAAAAATAGCCTGGTGGCATAGAATTTAAAATGAGGTCTCTTCTTCTCTTCCTAGCTCCCCTCCAGGAGGCACCATCATTCACAATTTCTGACTTTTGTGTCTTTGATTTACCAAAGTTAGCTGTATCTGCCGTGAAAAATGAAGGCTGTAGCCTATGCAGGGTATTTTCCTCTACCTCCTATTTTTTGTCAATTATGTTATTTATAATATGAATACTTTATTCTGAAACCACAGTGGAATCTTTCCCATGTTGCTGTCGGTCGATGCTAAAATCCTGGCAAAGATAACGTATGCTAGAAATGATGCTGTGTGCATCCTCTAGAATCAATGACTGGGCCCCTGAGAGGGAATTGTCACTGAGATGCTATCTCCCAGAGAAGGCTTCCCGGGTGAGCCGGCCCCTCTGGGCCCCCCAGCTCCCTCCTGTGGCCTCCACCTGCACTGACTGCGAGGGTCAGCTTGGCCACGTGCTTTTCTGCTGTGTTGTGCTGTGTTTCGCAGAAACACTTCTTCTAGTGACTCGTTTGACCTAGGGTGCGTGGGAAACAAACATTGAGTTCTTGCATGTCTGGAAATGAGCCTGGGCTTCCCAGCTCAACATCTGCTTGGCTGGGTGTAGAATTCAGAGGCGGCACTTTGAGGATGCTGCTCCTGCCATTGCCCCCAGTGTTGCTGTGAGACTCGGTGCCATCTGGGCCATTCTCTGCAGATAGGACTTGCTCTCGGTCCTCAGAATTCTGAAATTCACTGGAGCGGGTCTGGAGGTGGGTCATTTTCCATTTACTCTAACCTGGCCGTGGCAGGCCAGTTTATTCCCAATTGTCTCCTTCCAGCTCAGGGAAACGCTGTTCTGCAATCTATTTATAAACGGGGTGATGTCTGTTTTTAGAACTCCTGTTACGCGGTTGTTTGACTTCCAGAAGTTTCTTTCATGTGTCTTCATGTATCCTATTTTCTTTCTGCTACTTCTCTCAGTTGGTCTTCGATGTTTTCCCTTTTTTTTTTTTACATTTGAAAAATGTAGACCTTTAGTATGCAAGTTGATGGGCTTTGACAAATGCACACACAGGAGCAGCTGCGTCCTCTGTTAGGTTGTAGAACATTCTGTCACCCCCAAGTTTTCTAAGCTATTGGTGCTGCCCGCCCCACAGGCAGCCGCTGCTCTGACGGCGACCCGCAAGCGCTAGTTGCGTCTGGTCCAGAGTTTCACATCAAAATGGGATCCCATCAGACATCCTTTTTGTGTCTGGCCTCTTTCGTTCAGCTGGAAGCTCTTGGGATTCACTCACAGTGTTGTGAGAATCAGGAGTGTGTTCCTTTTCACGGCTGAGTCGCATTCCTGTTTGGGTGGGTGGGCCACGAATGGTGAGCAGTTTTGCTCACTGGGCCACTGACACTTTGGCTATTTGCAGCTGGGGCTGTGATGAACAGACCTGCTGTGAACATCCCTGTGCCCACCTTTTGTGGACTTCTGTTCTCCTTTCTCTTGGGTGGACCCGGACTGGACATGGGGCAGGTGTGACGTCTGCCAGCGACTTCCACAAGGGCTCCACCGCCTCACAGTCGGCAGCAGCGTGTGAGGAGGGGCCGTATTCCCCAGCTTCCCAGCAGTTGCAAGGGTCTGTCTTTTTAATTTAGCCCTCCTGGGGGGTGTGAGTTGGTATCTCAGTGCGGTTTTAATTGGCGCTTTCCTGGTAACCAGTGATGTTAAGCACCTTTTCGTGTGCTTTTGCCCATTTATGTATCCTCTTTGTTGAAGTATCTGTTCCTGCCTTTTTTATTACTGAGTTATAGGAGTTCTCTGTGTATTCTGGATCTCAGTCCTTTGTGAGATACACATATTGAGAATAGTTTTTCTCTATTCATGGCTTGATTTTTATTTTCATAAATAAATAATCGTTTTTGATGTGCAGAATCGGTTTTCATTTTATTATCTAGAGTAAACACGAACTTTTTTGCACCTAATGTTTCATTGGATTGCAGAGTATCTTATTTTTATAACATTGAGCTTTTTAGTAAGGTAAACCCAGTTTCAATTTGCAGGAACTCTTTCTTGATTGTTCCTTTTTAAATAGAAGCTTGCTCTTATTTATGTGTGTCAACTTCTTGGGTCTTTATGGGAACATTAATTAGATTTTTTTGAAGTTGCCCTGGGTCCCTGAATTATTTGTTTTCTGGGTTTGGCGGTGCTGATGGTCTCTCTTGGTGGTGTTTGGCTGTTGGTGATAATTGCTGTCCAGTCCTGCTTAGGAATGAGGGGGGCGGTGAGGGCTTGTGCTGGGGACGGGGTGGGGGGTGGTAAGAAGAATGGCCTAAGGGTGCAGCCGCCATCTGGGAACTAATTCCTTGACAAGATGACCCTGGCTGTGATCATGCGGCCCACTTCTCTTTGTGTCGGAGTCTGATGTTCTTCGGGGCCTTCTGGAAGGATCCCAGGGGCCTTGGCTTGCATTTCCTCTCAGCTGTGGTATCTCCCTCCATCTATCCAAATTCACCTGCTTTCTGTCTCCCTGGAATTCCTCAGAATTTTGCTGTTCTCTGTCCAACTGTGTTTATGGTTTTCTTCTGAAAATTTGTGTCTCTTGGGCCGGCCCAGTGGCGCACTGCTACAGTGCACCGCTTGGGAGCGCGGCCGGATCCCACATACAGACCGGTTCCCGCTCACTGGCTGAGCGAGGTGTGGGTGCAACACCGAGGGTTGCGATCCCGTTGCCAGTCCTGGTCCGGTACGGGCGCGACACTGAGGGTTGCGGTCCGTTGCCGGACACGAAAAAAGACAAAAAGGAAAAAAAAAAATTTGTGTCTCTTCTCCGACATTCCCGAGGCTCCTGGTGGGAGGGAGGCAGGCGTTGCCACATGAGCCTCTTGGGCCAGGACAGGGAGGTGATGCTGGGGGCACACACTCAGGCAGAGGCGGGAAGGGCGCAGCTGGGCCACACCTGTGGGGTGTCATCTCATGAGAGGAAGTTGGAAACACAGAGCCTTTGGGTGAGACTCCAATGAAGGATTTGGGGGATCCAGCAGCTCCCCCCTGAGGAGGGTTCCCAGGATGGTGGTGGTGTGTTTGCTCTTTCCTATTTTAAACTTGAGGTCAGTTTAGTTCTGCGGCTCCTGCCACGCACAGTGGCCTGAGGGTCTGGGAGGGTCTGCTGTGTCCTCCTGAACCAGATGGCCTGCCTGCCAGCTGGTCAGAGTTGGGTTTGCTGGGACTGTCCCCTGTCTTCTCCATTCTCCACTCTGTTCTCCGGTGCTTGTCAGTGTCTCCTCCGGTCTGACCCCCTGGGCCGTGAGCACTTCCTCCGCGTTGTGTATACATTAGGAGAGAACAGGATGCTTCATCCTCTTAACAGAATTCGGAAAGCAAATGACGGCCAAGGGAGCAGAGGCCTCAGAGGTGTTTTCATGAGCTTTGGCAGTGTGGATCCGTGAGATGTCCCGGGCTTCCCGGAACTTCTCGTTGCTGAGGTCCCTGTGCAGGGGCTGCACTGGGGCCGTGGGGCCCAAGGGCTCAGATGTCGAGGTGGGGGTGACCAGGGGCCCCTGTTGTAGCCTGCAAGCAGCTCCCACGCTGGATGGGGTGTGGGGACATCTGTGTCTGGGGCCTGCTCGGCTCTGTGGGTGGAGGAGGGGCTGGTCCTGCCTCCTGGTGCTGTCAGACTCAAACCCACCTCCTGGGCAGCGGGTTACACCCCCAGTCCCCTCTTGTGTCCTGGTCCCTGAATCCTGCTCGCTGTCTGCTGAGTGTGTCTGTCTTTGGCTCTAGGACCGGAAACTCACCAAGCTGGAGCGGCAGCGCTTCAAAGAAGAGGCCGAGATGCTGAAGGGGCTGCAGCACCCCAACATCGTGCGCTTCTATGACTTCTGGGAGTCCAGCGCCAAGGGCAAGCGGTGCATCGTGCTGGTGACAGAGCTGATGACCTCGGGAACGCTGAAGACGTAAGTGCCGTGGCCCACGGGCTTGGGTGGGTCTCAGTGTGGGCGTGCAGCCACCACAGCCGGGGGTGACTGAGGTCCTGGGGGCGGGTCCTGGCCGGAGCCTCTGGTCCAATGTCCCATCTCTCAGAAGCGTCCCTTTTGGTTGATAAATCTCTGCCCTCCTGGCAATAGAAAGCCCCTTCCCCAAATGAGAAGAAATAAATCAAAGCAACCCAGCTCCCAGCTCTTGCCTCCCTCTGGCCTCCTGTGACAGATGGGACCTGTCCCTCAGACACAACTGGGACCCTGTCCCCACTTTCTCTCCCTCATGGGACACAGAAGGGTGATAGCTTCCTGACAAGGTGGTTTGTCTGTAGTGTCAGGGCCTTGTTTCTGGCCGGGGTCTGTTTCTGCCTGGTGCCAGCTTGGCATGTCCTGGTGGCTTGGGAAGCAGGCGGAGCAGCGTTGAGAGGCTGGTGGGGGGTGCAGATGGGGAGTGCGGGGCTGGATGTGGTCAGCAGGGGGTCAAGGGCCGGTGACCATGGCAGCCTGCCACTCCTTTGTGAG